TTTGCCAGTTTGACTATAATGTGTCTTGAAGGGGACCTTGTTGGATGGAATCTGTTTGGTGATCTTTGAGCCTCCTGGATCTGAAAGTCTGCATCTCTCCCTATACTTGGGAAGTTTTCCACTATTGTTTCGTTGGAAAATTTATCAATACCTTTTCCTTTCTCCTCCCCTTCAGGAACACCATGATTCAGATTTTTTTTTTTTTNATCCATGAACTAAAAAGAATTTTCATAGTACATCCTAAATTTAAATATATTTTCCATAAAATTATTAAAAATTTATCTCAAGCAATATTGAGGTGTTTTCATGATATTCTTTTATTGGTAACTGCTAACTGCATTTCAGGATATCAGGAACCATAATGTATGAGAGCCATTTGGAATGATTTAGAAATACTTCTTTTCTTCTCTAGCAAATACCTAATATTTTATGTCTAATGTGTGCATTAAGTATGTACATTCCCTCATTGTTGATATATATACACACACATCTATACACTCATTGTTGACATGTATATACACACACATCTATACTCATAGTATATATGTATATATGTGTATATAATATGTACACATAGTATATATGTGTATGTAATATGTAAAGATAAGCACACATTAACATATCTGTGTATCTATAGATATATATCAGAATTCATTTTTTCTACACAAATTCTATATCTATGTAATTTCAAATATTTACCATATGTATGTATATTAGAACAAGCATTACACTGAATTACTTACTCATAGATTTACTTTTTTGTCCCCTTAATCTATTAGATTCTGATAAATGCTACTTGAATCACCAATTATCCATCAAATTTTGCTGTATGTATTTCAAGGATTATATGATTAAATAAATGAAAGTTTATGAGTGTTATACTGTTCCTGTTAATAGGATCATTAGAAGATAAAATATCAGTATTTCCATCCCTTCACTGTTAGGCTATGTGTTTCTTTAAAAGTGAGGTGAGTCTCTTGAAGACAGCATACATGTGGGTCTAGCTTTATAATCCGATCTGTCCATCTGTGTCTTTTGAGTGAAGAGTTCAATCCATTTACATTTAGGGCTGTTTTCATCCTTCACGGAGTATTACATGGCTGCCCTAGGAGTGAGGCTTGATGAAGGGGGATTGTTATAGCTGCTCCTGCCCTATGGTGTCCACTCTCCCAAATTTAGTGTCTTCCCAGGGTTGTTCCCTGTGGGGATGCATCCAATGCAAGCCTCATACTCACACGTGGTGCAGACGCCCATGTCTGAAAATGCTACAGTGAATGTGCCTCACACACACACACACACACAGGGGAGGCGGCATCACCCTAGAGCCCTGACCACACCCCTGTGTATAAGGACACTAGGGTTCCTCTTCCGTCGCACACAGAGGTGGAAACCTCCTCCCGAATGATCGCTTGATCACTTGATGGCCTCAGACACCAATGGCCACTTAACTTTGGCTTCTGCTTTTTCTTGTGGTTGCNATTTCAGAACACTGAAAGTAGTATTTTGCAGTGTTTGGAGCAGATGGGGGCTCCTAAATGGGTAAATCAATCCTCCACTTTGGCTGTAGAGTTTGACACAAGGATCCCCTCATGTCCTGACCCCTCATGTCATAACCTGGTCTGAAAATTAACCATGATTAAGCCCCTTTCATTATCTAGACACTACTGACACCCACAATCCCTCTGAGGACTGGGGTTCATGACAAAATGCTCCAAATGAGCAAACTAAGGCTCAGAGAAGGGACATGAGTGTTTAGAGTCAAACAGGCAGTTTTATATGATAGCCACAAATTAAATAAAAATCAGCTTCCCTGTCCCCACCCCACAAATCAGAGCCTGAACTCTAGTAATTGTTCCCTAAGTATCAAACAAAAAGAAACCAGGTGGAACACAGAGAAATGTTGAAACATCAGGGGCAGTGGAGAGGCTGGAATTATTTAGAGGTTTGTTCCCAGGTACATAATGGTAGATATTGTTGAGAAGACAAAAAAAGACATCACAATGAAGAAGAATATTTGTTAGAAGAAAATCCACCCTAAACTGACGGGAGAAGAGTGGTGTTTTCTTCCCTTATTTCCCTTTATTTCTCCTCTGTGCCCTTTGCCACAGTGCCTCTCAACTTGAACTGCACAGATATTCAGTGTGTCTCTGCTGATCTGAGTCTGCCGTGCAGCGTGAACCTGCATCTTCCCTGAAGCATCTCCAGGGCTGGTGAGACGACTGGCCATGGTTAGGGCCCCACAGCCATGTGATGACAGACGGGCTGAAAGAGTGAGGGAGACCCCATGGGGAGGCTCTGAGAGGGAAGGGGAAGCCCTCAGTCACCCTCACCTGGAAGGGACAGACTCAGGAAGGCACCGGCTCTACTTGCTGAAATGTCCTCGCCCTAAGTGAGATGAGGACAGGTCAGGCAGAGTCTGG